ATATATATATATATATATATATATATATATATAGTTTAAGGGAGAGACCACGGATTCACGTGCCTCATATTTTAGGATATAAATTCGCCCCTCTTTAATTGGAAAAAAGAAATATATATGAGAAATTGGATATTTACTTGTCTTGTTTATATGTGAAACTAACAAAAGATATATTTTGTTTATGCCAATTGCCATGTTTAAGCTAATGAGCCATGGGGATTTTCTATCTTCCCATTGGAGCTCCACTGAAAATAGAAATAATCAAGTGCTCTTTATGAAGAATTGCACCTTATTTCTTCATTGTGTGCTGAAAACCAAAAGCTTAGCTCATAAGGGGAGGATTGACCTAGTTCATATAAGCAAAACACCAGTCCATTCCCCGACGTCCTAAACAATGTGGGATTCTAACCCACTCTAACACCGTCCTTCACGCCCAAACCCAACTAGAGCATGAACCGGGAACTCAAATGGGAATAGACCCGACTCTAATGCCATGTAAAAATATGACACTTGGGCCTAACTCAACTCCAAAATTAGTTCATGAGAGAAGGATTGTTGTAGTCCATATAAGTTGACCACCCGTCCATTCCCCAACCAATGTGGGATGGTAAGCCACTCTAACAAGATGTTCAATGTGGGACACTAACCCCCTCTAACAAGTACTTCTGGGAGATCATGGCTCTTGTCTTCCTTCTTATACTTCAGTAAATGGAAGGTTGCTTTATGACTCTACTTATGATGTAGTTATTGGGTAATGTTACTTCGACTTTGAGAAACTAACCCTTGCTATCCATATGTTTTTAAGGCTTTTGCATTTTACTATTCACTTTCCTATTGGTGGATATTTTTGGTCCTTGAAACTTATGCTATTTTATGCTTGTTGACATAGGATATGCAAGCACTCATCAACAAAATAAACAAGTCTATTGTGGCACCACTTCCGACAAAATACTCTGGTCCATTGTAAGTCGTTCATCTGATTGAAATTTGTTTAGTCATGGCATATGTTTATATGTTCAAGTGCTGCCTTTTTATTTTGGACTGTGATTTCTTAAGCTGGACTTCTAGAACTGTTAAAGAAAGTTCCTCTTTCGATTTTAAATGATTTGTTCTCTTGGAGAACTATCTTAAATATACAGGTCTATTTTGAACTTATAAACAGGCAATCAACAGATGGGAATAAAATTGTAGCAGCTTAACTTGTCGAGTGTACCTTTGGTTTTAATTTAGTGAGGTTTCAGTATCTAAGCATGCCTTATTTGAAAAGGCCAACATAAGGATTTTAAAGTTAAATTACACTAACCACTCTTAAGGGCATTTTAATTCCCTCTACTTCCATTGTGCTTCCAGTCCAATGCAAAACATGACAGGCCTCCCTATGTAGATTTGCATGAATGGAATAATTTTTGTTTTTATCATCAAATTCCCAAGTACCAACATAGATTTCTGTAAAATAAATTTTGAGATGTTAAAGGAGAATAAACTACAGTTTTAAAAGAAAGGCCAATGAAAATCAACAATCATTTTAACTGCATCTTCCCTCCCGGGCCCTTTCTATTCCTTGGTGGAGGACATATTTCTACTTGGTGCCATCTAAAGGCAAAATTGGGTGAAAGGAGATAATGCATTAGTTTGGAGGTCAGGAAGGCAGGTCTTCATTATTATGACGAACAACTCAAGGTTGTTTTTGGAATCATCATGACGACACGAAGAATCTATTCTTCACTTCTTATAGCCTCTATTTGCAATGTAATACTTTTGTTAGTAAAGGAACACCGAGATCCAAAAAGTAAGAGGGGATGTTTACGTGCCTCAGCAATTATGTGTTGAAATCTTTTTTGACTTTATATATGAGAAACTCTACCCTTGAATGAGAATCTTTTATTTAACTCTGCTTATTCACTTCTCTTATTTGCCTTCCAGCCGAGGTCTTGTCAAAAGCATGCTGCGGAAAAATCCAGAACTGAGGCCAAGTGTATGATTCCTCTTTATCTGTATTTATATAGGTTCATTTACATCTTAAGCCATTATGGTATTGCCTTAAGATCTCCTATGAGATTCACTAAGAAACTTGAACTGGTGGTTTACTGTGCATATTGTGTCATCTGCATAAATGGATTATGTTTTTAGATAGAGATCTGCATATGATGGAGTTATTTTGAAGATAAACCAACAGAAGCTTATAAATGCTGTAGTGCTGTCTCAACATCTTTACCTGAAAATCAAATATGTGACTATGAGGTTATTGTTTGTTACATTTCTTTCGTGAATCTCCCGCTTTCCATGCCTGTGCTTTACACCATAATGTAAGACACTTCCTCTGACTTATGTTTCATCCAATATTAGAAACATTCAATTTTATATCTTTTGTTTTTGCTCTTTCCTATTTTTAATTTTTTTGATTGGTAATACTTTCACAAGACAAAATCCTTAAGTGAGACACATTTTCTAACCATTCTTCCAGAACTTGTACGGCAACTGTCTTCCGCCTTAATTTTAAGAAAAAGGCAGGTTGACATGATCTTCTGGTAATGTAAAATATCTTTACAAATACCAAGTTGATGAGTCATCATTTGGATGGAAGGTAAAGGGATAAACAAGGAAACTTAGACCCGAATTTTGCTATCAATATGCTTCTTCTGTAGTTAATGATTTGTAGCATTTGCAACAAATTTTATTAGTAATTATCTTTCTCAATAATTTTTTTTTATTAGTAATTATCCCAAGCATCATAGTATATCTGAATTAAATATCACCAAGTATACCACAACTACGGCACAAAATCCTGCTAGTTTCCTGTATTGAAGTTATCTATTTCAAAAGAAAAAAATCCTCCTTCTAGTTTCCTGTATTGTATTTTATGTATTCATATGACTCGACTGGTTCAGTAACAATTGTCCTGCGTGTGACTTTCTGTCAGCAATACTCTCTAGCCTGCGATACCTGTTATTTTTAGTCTTAAATTACCTATGTGGACTGATTGACATGCATAGGTGGAGAAGAAGTCCTCTATTCAATATGTAACAAGCCAAATGTTTTAATGTTCCATAAATATTGTCTGGTTGTGTAAAATATGCGAAGGAACTAGTCGCTCCTAAGAGCACACATCGCAGATCTGAACCCTTCCACATACTTGTATTTAGTGGAGAAGGGTAGAGGGTAGAGGGTAGAGGAGGGGGCCATTATCCACAGAGAACAGTCACCTCAGGCTCTGAGGGATTTCTTTGTTATTAAATAAGAAAAAACAACTAGCTACTCCTAAGAACTGGGAATTATACTCTGACCCTTTATTAGGGATTATAGTGAAGAAAACCAAAGGACATGAATAATCTCTTTCTTAGTTTTGTTGCATCTAATTTGAGAAGTTGTAGCCTTAATTTACGTTTATGCTAAAACTGCAAGGATCTTTACTCATAACTTTTATGTAGTTGTGTAATATCAACAGTATCGATGACATGTCTCATCATTTTGCCCACATAATGCAAATATCTGGAGGAAGCATTTCATGTTTTCTTGTCTTTAGCTTTGAAGTATGAAGCCTTTCATAATTGATGATTATCTTTGAGTGCTGGCTTAGAAGGAGCTTCTCTTCTGAAGTACAAGAGTGTTTTTTACTATATAACTGAGAGTAGTGATTCTAACAAAAATGAAAGGATTAACATGTTAACACTTTAAACAGTAGGTCTTTCTGTTTATCATTTTTCTGTAAGTTGATAAATTTCTGCTTAAATTAACTTTGAAGCATGAAAATACAGGAAGCGTAACGCCTTAAATTACTTTCTCGCAGAAGCTATTCAATACTGACCACAAAAGGTTAAAATATGTCTATTTGGCTTCTTTAGAGTGCTTCCATTGTTCCGTCAGATTAGTTTTCTAGACTGTTGGTTAGTAGCCAAAATTGATCTAGTGAACTGATCAGCTCTTAAGATATAAAGTTAAAAGGGAATCTCCTCACAAAGACTGAAAACTTAAGGCATATTTTGATTGTAATATTCATACTGACTTAAAATATTATTTTTGTTATACAGGCAGCAGAACTTCTTAGGAATCCACTTCTTCAGCCATATGTGATTAATACACATCTCAAACTTAATGGCCCCAGACGCAACAGTTTACCTGCTTGTTTGCCTGATAATGATGTAAAGAAAACCAGATTTGCAATTTCTGAAAGCACACCTGTTGCAAAGAACAGAGAGAAGCGAATGTCATGTGGAAATGATAGGACTTTGAATCCTAGTGTCTCTGATCACGATTATACTTTTTCAAATCGTAGATATCCAAAAACACCAAGCAGAGTATCTGAATTGTCTGTTGGAAGCCCTGATAGAGGATCAACTGTCACAAAAAAAATCACTTCAAAAGCTTTGCTTGTGAATAAGAATCCAAAGGTGATCGTGCCAAAATTGACTACCCCAAGAAGACAAGTGGATCTAAGGAACAGTGATATGGTAAGGTTACAAGTAAAAGGTTATTCATTTTACTTCTTTCTATTTTATAAAAGTAAATGGATTTTATTCTAGACAAGAACGTCCAAGCGGTTCAACTGATGTACAACAAAGTAGGCAAATACCAATATATAAAAATTAATAGAGTCAATAGTTTGTCATTGCAACAGATTTAGAGAAAATGGTTTCTCACTAAATCTTAGATGGTGTCAACTTATATGTGAAAAGAAAAGCGGGTATCCTAAAATTTAACCTAATATTGTTATTTTCATTTGGATCTTGATTAACTGTTTGGAATGCCCGAACCAGGATATGTTCCATCACATTAGCTTAGATAATTTCCAGGAACAATTTTAATATTCATTTTCACAATTATTATTATATGATAAACTAGTTAGATTAAAATCGTAAATTGTGTGTGAAATCAAATACTGTTGCACGAGAGAGAGAGAGAGAGCAGAAAAAGCAAAAAGAAAATAAAAGAACACGTTGAAGATAAGCAGACCTCAACACAGAAGCTCAAGATGAATTGTATCTTGTTGTTTCACTTTTTGTGTATAGAAAGTAGAGTAGAGGAGGCAGATTCCCTAGTAGATTCATTTGATAAGATTCTCTGTAAATTCTATTTTTTCTTAGCTGGGTGGTTTTTGGTCTCTCAGTAATTATGCTTTTGAACTGCTTTATTAGTGCCTTTGTGTACCAACTTGTTACCAGTTTAAAAAAAGAAGAAAATAACATGTGGTTGCTTTTGTATCTATGTTCTGAAAATCATGGATATAAGCTGATGTACTTTAAGCAGTAATATGATTATATGCAATTCTAGCCTACTTAACCATATTTCCCTTGGTGATGTGTTCCCAACACCTGCGTCCTGTCGTTTGACTACTCTATGCTTGACAGGCTTCACGAACCCTGGTGAAGAGATCTGTTTCTACAACTCGTAGGGCATCTTTGCCATTGACAAACAAGGCAGCAGTTCAAGAATTACCTCGAAGGCCGAGTCTCAGTTTTCTTGACTGTATTAAGTCTCCTGATGTTTCTGTCAATGCCCCTCGAATTGACAAGATGCTTGAGTTTCCATTAGCTTCATATGAAGATCCTTTCCATCCTATACGCCGAACATCATCAAACTCTGCGCAAGGTTCCTCTGGCTCACCACAAGCTGAGTATTCAGTTATGAAAGACAAATGTACCATACAGATTCCTGACAGTAAATTTGATCGAATGAGTTCCAATGATGCTTGGCAAGGGTTTGAGGGCCCCATGGTGCATGTGGATAGAGAGGACATAACTGATTCTTCTGATCAAAATGCCACTGCTGGTGCATCTAGCCGAACCTCATCTGACACAAGACGCCGCCGTTTTAACATGTCATCTTATAAGCAACGGGCCGAAGCCCTGGAGGGACTACTTGAGTTCAGTGCTAGACTCTTGCAAGAAGACAGATTCGATGAACTTGGTGTCTTATTGAAGCCATTTGGACCAGAAAAAGTTTCTCCGAGGGAAACTGCTATTTGGTTGACCAAGAGCATAAAGGAAAATGCTCCTAAACAGGAAGATTAGTTCTAAGAACATTCAATGTGTATAAAGTAGTCTTTGCTGTAATATTTTCTGTAGGTGCCCAGATTTTGCTACGTAGAGGCAGTCATAAACTGAAACATTAATTCATAGCTAGCATATTTAGCAAATTCACGAAGTACTGATAGGATAATATGGATGAGAAAACAGGTTCTTTAATTCCGCTAGAAATATTATTGCTTATGGATGGTCCCAATGTTAGCATCTATTTTTGCCGAATTAGAGTGCTTGTTATGCTCCTTGTCTCTTCTATTTTTGGGTGCATTTACTCGACTTGAGACACCAAGCTAAAGAATTTAAACATCAGTTTTCATTAGAAATTGGGTGTTGCCCCAATTTTTGGTATTAGGTTGCAGTTCTCCTTGTGCACTTGGATGCTCTAATAACAGAGATATTTTAAGGAAAATGGAGTTTCACTGGGCAAGATGGAACCAGTACGTGCTCAGAGGAGGCTGATGTAAATGGCTGAGAGAGAGCAATACATAGCTATAAATCTCATGTGCTAGTCACTCTTACCTTATAGACAGTGAGAGATCTTCCAGAGGTCAAACGGCGGACACTATGCTGGCGGAATCAACCTTGACATGCTTGATAGACTTTGCTTGTTTGTAGAGCTTAAGTAACCAGGCTTCATGGCTTTCTGGGACATTGTGTCTCCTGCTGTGAGTAGGTGTTTCTTCCCTTCTAGAGTCAGGTATGCCTGTTATCCCATCCATTGATGGTGTGCGCTTGCTTTTTCTTATAATGCTCCAATTGGGTCGTTGTCTGGGTTCACTATGTGACCTAGCTTTTGCTCTTGAGGATTCTGTATTGGACATGTATGTTAGTGCTAAAGTAGCACTAGAAAAAATGGAGTTCGGTTTTTCTGAGTGTGGAATGGAAAATGGGGTTTTGGAAGATGTGGTTGTTGACACATTAGAGCAATGTTCAAAACCTTTTTCTGGCGTCTTGAAGGAAAAATCCTCTAAATGCCTGTCATAACTTATTGTGCTCATATCACTCAGTGTAGAGGGACTTGGACATGTCTGAAGTACTTGATGACTTCTCCTTGACAGTGAAAGGCAACGAGACTCAGAGGTGCTCAATCCATTTTCCATTCCAGAAGATCTGTTTTTCGTGCTATTGTTCTTCTGAACTCTCCCTTTTTCTTGAATGCTAACATCCATCTTTTCCTGCCATTTAAAATCTTGTCATTTCCATTATGTTGGTACACTCAAAATTCTGCATGAGAAGAGGAGACTTACAATGCTGCAGGCTCTGGTAAGTTGATTGTTCCCAGGTGATACTTTCTGACTCTTTCTTGAGTTTGGGGTATGTGCTTCTTTGGTCATCTGAACTCTTTGAACACGAGCCCTTAGTTGAATGACCATAAGAGAGTGCATGCGTCTCACCATTGCTGCTGTCTGTTTCCTCACTAGGTGACCCCTTACCAGTGCCTGTAATCTAACTAGGCTTCTTAGGGCGCGCAATGCTTTCCTAGCCTGCATAAACATCAGTCATGCTTTCAAACCATTTTTCACCTTTTAGCATTAAACCTTATTTATTTAGCCCTACATAGTTTAGCGGTGCATGTTCATTGACCTTATGGTGAGAACAAGGTCCTCTCCATAATAGGTAACTTAGTGCAAGTTATGAGGATCAAATGAAACCAAACATGCTTTACCTAGTTTAAAAATAAACAAGAACACACTCATGGTTTGAATGGTTACCAAATAAGCACGGAAAACAGCTTGGATTTTGGTGGCAGCTGCATCCTTAACACGTCTGGTAAGGTATGCCTTTGGTTTTATAGCTCCTTTTGCTGTTAGGCTTGCTTTGTGGTGTTTCTCTAGCATGTCAAACTCCAGCATTGAACCTTGTGTGTTTAGTTGGTGATCAAAAGTTAAGTCGAAAGACCTGTTACTCTTGTGGCTTTTTCTCTCCATGCTTGATGATTTCTTGAAACTCCATCTCCTTTTCGCCTTTGGAGTTGTTGGGGTGCCCATACTTTCTATTGATTTGTATTCTTTCTTTTCCCTTTCCTCCTTTTTCCCCATCACCATTAGGAAGTTTCTGATCCATTTGCTTGCCTTCCCCATTTCTTGTATTACCTTTCAATCTCTTTCACTCAATAGTGTTGAACTTTCCTTGAATTGGGTGAATGTTAGAGAGACTTTGAGTCATATCAATGTGGTTGAGTACACTGATATAATGAGGTTAAGGCCTGCATTGTTTCTTGGCTTTGTTATTTCATTGACTTTTTTTGTGTGTGTGTGTTTTAAAAGTGAATATTCAAATGGTTTTGGTGGTGCAACTCTTTATATTAGTCATTTTCACAGTATTTGGTTTGGCAAAGGCCTGCAAATGTGTCCTCTTGTCTTGCCATTTGCAACTATAGTGAGACTTGGACATTATACTTCTTTGTATATATTGGAGGTTTCTAAATTAAAACACTTACTTTGTTTTTAGTCAGAGCTGCATGCAGACCTCAATTTTAGTCTTTTCTAAAGAAGGAACCTTTCTGATTGTAAACATGAATATCCTCATGAAGATGAGGATATCCCTAGTATGTTAGAGTCCTTAAGGAGTTCATAGGAAAACAACATCACTTTTGTATTTCTGATTGTAAGTATTACTGGAATACGTCCTGAGTATTCCTGTGTTTATAATACAAGTTACCTTTTCAAAAAAAAAAAAGAAGGAACCTTTCACTGACCAATATATTCAGTTTGGCCAACTAATTTATAAACTATGTACAAAAATGATTGAAGAATACACACCATATACACTGGTTATGTATAGATATGTTTAGTAGAAGTATACACAACCTGTATATTGTGTACATATTTTGTAAATTGGATCACTCAAAGGTATTAGACTGTAATTTTCCCTTTGTCTCTTATCAAAAGCTGATACATTTGGCTCATAAAAGAATGATACTTCAGTTTTCTCAAATTAATGTGTCCTAGACATAAAGTGATTCGAAAATTTTAATTTGGCTTGAATTTGCAGATAAAATGTAAAATATCTAAGGCAGGCTACCTAGATTTGTCTTTGAGGGAATTTTCACCATCACACCAAGTATTGCTAATTGGAAAGCTGACTCAGCCTTGTCAACGTATATAACTTAAATATTCTTCTTTTCTTCTGTTGAGTAGTTTAATACGTGTCATTACATAAAATAAATATGAACACCCAGTTATGGTTGAGTTAACCACAATTAGCCACATTAAACACTAGAAGATCCATTCATTAAACTTTCAACTGCTTTACCCTCAATGTAAAACAGAACTATGACTTTAATCTTTGAATTTTTTTTTGTACCTAAACCTTTGATGTGTATGTTTATTAGTTATCTCTTTTGGTTTGTTATTATTATTATTATTGTTTGATTGAAGACGTTATTGTCGTGTCCATTTGACTTCTTTGATTTACATTTTACTCCAATTTTTGTTTTCAAAAAGTTTTACATACTCACGGAACTTCTTCTATCTATGTATGATTGATTGGGGGTAGGTAAAGGGGAGATGGGAGAGGGAATTGCAAGGCGGGAAATTATATCCTCACTGGTGAGATGAAAGTTTAGATAGTTGCTGAAAATATGTTTTTACTTTACAAAGCAACAAAGAACACTTCTTTTGAAAGAATAATCAAAAAAATTATCAAAGAAATCCCCCAATTTTAACTATAATTTTCAAATATGCATAGTATAAACTTTTTGATAAGCTGATTCAACTAAACCTGCTTAGCCAAGGTAGATAATATATTTTAATTAAGTATTTAAGAAAATTTGGACAACTTTAGAAGTCATTAAAATTCTTTATTAAAAATGATAATTTTGAAAGATAAACCCAATTTTCTAGTACTACAATAAAATATATTAGAACTATAACTATACCAATTTTATTGGATATTTCAGTTGTGATTCAACCGTTTTTGGGGACAATTAAAAACCTAACTACTTAGTGCTTTGACAAATGAAACCCAAATACTTATTGTACTTGGCTAGGGAGACTATTGATAACCTTCTACTTAATCTTGTACTTGGCTCATAATTATGAAAGTTTTAACACCCCCCCCCCCCCCGCCCACCCAA